TCAGGACATTAGGAGACTCGAAGAAGCTTTTCTTGGATGCAAAGTGAAAGGTTGCCAGGCAAATGTCCTTGGGGGAAATTTCTCGCCGGTAGGGTCTTGGTCCCGAATTGTCGGCCTGCAAGAAGTGCAGAGAAGGGAATTATTTTCTCCATGTTATTGGGCAGGGGCCAGGTGGGGGAAAGAGTTTGGTATGCGCCAAGGTGGACTCCACCCCTAATGTTGCCCTTCAGTGTATATGTTCCCATCGGCATCACTCAAAAGGCATTGGTATGTTTTACGAGGCACACTTCATAGCAGCCAGAAAGACTTGGATCAATTTTCCGATGCCAAGTATGCAAACAGAATAATTCTGAAGGCTAAGTCCCAAATGTTGTGGATAACTGCTTCTTGGTCCTCAATGCAATAAGGTTGATGCACTGTTGGTGCTAAACAACATACCAACTGGCCTTTCCAAGTTAGTGTGCTAATTTTGGCCTGTCAGGACAAGTAAAGCTGCGACTTGCCCAATGGTACTCCAGTACAATTTCTCCCAAGTCCTTCTGAGCTCACAACAACCATCACAGTCATCCTGCGCATTCTGTTTTGCCACTTAGGGTCACAGAGTCATAGTTATACAGCACAGTCCAACTTATCCATGCCAACCAGATATCCTAAACTGTCTATTTCCATTTGCCAGCATTTGGCCAATATACCTCTGAACCCTTCCTGTTTATATACCCATCCAGATGCCTTTTAAATATTGTAATTGTACCCATCTCCTCCATTTCCTCTGGCAGCTCATTCTACATATGCACCATCCTTTGTGTGGAAAAAGTTGCCCCTCAGGTCCCTTTTAAATCTTTCCTCTCTCACCTTAAACCTATTCCCTTTAATTTGGGCTCCTCTACCCTGGGATAAAGACCTTGGCTATTCACCCTAGCGTCTCTCTAAAGTCACCCCTCAGCTATACTTAATGCATTGACCAACGAAGGCAAGTATGTCAAATGCCTTCTTCACTACCCTGTCTACCTGTGGCTCCACTTCCAAGGAACTATACAACTGCATCCCTAGGTCTCTTTGTTCTGCAACACTCCCCAGGGACCTACCATTAACTGTGTAAGTCCCAATCTGATTTACCTTACCAAAGTGCAACACCTTACATTTATCTAAATTAAACTCCATCTGCCACTCCTTGGCCCATTGACCTGTTTGATCAAGGTCCCATTGTTCTATGAGATAACCTTCTTCGCTGTCCACTACACTCCCAATTTTGGGGCCATTTGCAAGCTTACTGACCATACCTCCTATATTCACATCTAAATCACGTATATAAACGATGTAAAGGAGTGGACCCAGCACCGATCCCTCTGGCACACTACTGGTCACAGGCCATCAGTCGAAAAATAACCCTCCACCACCAACCTGTCTCCTACCTTCAAGCCAATTTTGTATCTAATTGTCTAGCTCCCCCTGGATTCAATGTGATCTAACATTGCTAACCACCCAACAATGCGGAACCTTGGCGATTTCCTTGCTGAAGTCCATATAGGTGTCTACTGTTCTGCCTTCATGGGTTTATAGCTACACCAAGCAGAAAATGTTGTTTTGTAGCCCAGTGATCAGAATAGTCAGTGGAAGAGAGAAAAGAGAGAAGAGGCCAAAAGCGGCTTGTTAGTAGCCAATAGGTTATCCATGAAACCATGGGAATTCCGGTCTTCTCCTGGATCTGCATCAATATGAAAATAAGTCTAAGTACTTTGTCCATTGTTCCCTGGTCCAATTGCTTCTTCTGAGGGATAATGGCTAGGCCACTGTAGAGCTGGACAAAACCTAGGAGATCATGATTGACAGATGCTCTGCCCATTTTACCATTAATCTTGCAGAAGAGTCTTCAAAAGGACACATGACCTGGCTTGCACGGTTAAGTTGAGCCATTGGTGCTTTCAATCAGCTACCCACTGAGGGATACCTAAACAGAGCCAGGACCAAAATGGTTGAATCCCTGAACTAATCCATGAAACTTGCATCCAAAGTTTACTATACTGCTGGGTCCCATTTAATGCTGGGGGAAAAAAAAAGTGGTACAACGCTTACCACATTCCCCACCAAAATGTTTTTAAACAGTCTAAATGTTTAATTTTTGTTCTTTGCCATCCATAATGATGGCCACAAATGCGTTTAAAGGCCTAAGCTGCTCTAAGGTCACCACATCTTCAAATGAAACAACCTCAATGTTACCAGGGTGGCCACTACTTTGGGGATAGGCCATGGACAGCCAATGCCTACACCATCACAACCTTTTGCTTACTCTGTGCTGTGGATGTCCAGTACAGCCTTCAACATGAATCCAGCATTACAGAAACATCTAAAATTGAATCTTCTTTGGCACTGATCGGGGGTAAGTCAAAGCAGACATTTTGGAAGGATTAGAGCAATATACCACATAAAGTACAACAATTCAATCAAGTGACAATGTGGAGTTCTACGGATTACGGCGTGCACTTTCAATGCCACCACGTCTAATTGCTCTGGATGTATAATAAATGGAGTTCCAACTGGAGGATAATCGATGTGACTCTTTGACAGTATTTGCAAATACTAGTTTCTGCCATTAGTAAAACCAGCCAGGTTTCAACAAAACATCAGCAGATTAGACATAACCCAGTGGGACACTATAACAAAATCGAACATTCAACAGATCAGCAAAATCAAAATGTTATCAGTGGTGATATGCACCATAGCGCTCACCCAGTCTCCAAAGGCAACTTCTCACTTTCTATGCTTTTTATTTTAAGAAAAAAATACAGAATATCACATACAGCTGAAGTTTGTGCGGATGATGCCTCAAGTACAACAAATACTTTAATAAACAGCTTCTGCATACGCAGAGAAAACAATGGCCTTGATCCCATTGAATCAAATTACTCAATGGAAAAAAGAAACAATTGACGAAGAAACAGCAGTTCAGCCCATGAGGGCTACTTGTGTTTAACCACCCACCTTTGGACCAGTGAATGTTTGCAAATACCCTCTTCCCTTGCCACCTCATATGATACATTTCAAGCCTAACTTTTCACAACTACATCCGTGGGAAAATCTGTCACTTGCCCGATGGTACTCCAGTACAATTTCTCCCGAGTCCTTCTGAGCTCCCAACAGCCACCAGGGTCAAAAGCGAGAGACATCAGCGCACGTTGCAGTTGCCTCCGGTGCACCCTGTTACGCCACTTAACGTACAAAAGAGAAAAGAATAAAGTTAGGGATTAAGAACAGTGTCCAGTTGCCCCCAGATCTGGGTGCAACTGGTTTTATAGGCTACGTCAAGCAGAAAATGGTCTTTTGTAGCCCAGTGGTCGGAATAGTCAGTGCAAGAGAGAAAGGTTGCAGGCAAAAAGGCTTGCCTTGCAAAGCCCTTCCTGAGACAACTTTTTTTCTTAAAGTTGAGGGGATGTCAGTTTCTGGGATAACCATCAACTTTTCACTTCGGCTGAAATTCAGCTTCAGCCTGATAAATAATCCAGCCCCAACATTTTTTCCATGGATTAGAATGTGAAGATTGTTGGGTGGGTTGTATAACGGGGCAACCGATTCACTACCTTCCAAACTGCACCCTTGCTTAAAGCTGAATTTCAAGCCACTCGATACATCTCCAGGATCAGCAGTTTCTTCCAGATCAGGTGAAATGATGTCAGATAGAGTGTAGAACCTTCCTCTATTCTAACCCAACAGCCTCAGTCTCAACTTAGTGGGCGGCATCGTTATAGCACCTTCATTCCCCTCTATCCCACCTCCCACACACATACTCAGGCAATCCTGAGGCATTGCCAAGCAAGATGACAACTTTACATCAATTAGTGTGTAACATGTTGTGGATTGATGTCCATTTCCAAAGGGGTTGAGACACCTCAACTTAATTTCTCATTATAGAGAACAGTCAGAGGATTACACTGCCTCCATTAATCTGATTGAATCCAAATTTTAGACCCTGACGTAAAATATCAAGCTGGAAGAAATAAGGGATATTGATACAGTGTTTAGCTGCAAAATGGGCATATTTGAGTATATAAGGATGGTGTCTGGGTTGGTTGAGTGAAGGCAAAGGCCACAAATATAAAATTAGTTCTTGTTCAGCCGAGTCAAAATCCTGGAACTCAGGTCTTAAAAGCACTGTGTGTGTCAAACACCTCCCCCCACAACCCCCAAGGATTGCATTGGTTCATCAAGGCAGCTCAGCGCCACCTTTGGCAGGGAAATTAGGGATTGGCAGTAAATGCTGGCCTAGCCAATGAAAAAATTTTTAAAAAGCTATCGCACAGCAATAAAACACTGCAAGACGCAACTCTTGATCACCTTCAACTAATCCCACTGCACGTACCAGGGGAGAACAGGACCAGGTTTGGCTGTGGCAGTCCAAAGTGGTCAATGTTCTTTGTCAAAACGTATGCAACCACAATGGCAAATCAGCCATTTCACAAAAAGGCTACCTGTACACCTGCAACTGTACTCCAGCAATGAGCCAACACCTACAGGTAGGTGGCAGGAGAGAGTTTCTTGGCATTTGTTTTTGAACCTCTGGAAGTGTTTGACAAGTGTTTTGAGTAGATTGGAAGGAGACCTTGAGAAGTTCCATGCAAGCGTGGCAGTTTATAATTAGTTGAATGGAGCTATAAAATTAATCAGATAGCAACGTTGTTTCCAGGTGAAAGTCAAAGGGTAACCTCTAAAGTACATGTTGGAATGCAATAATCAGGAGTCTATTAAACAATTTTATTACCACTGGCATTAATGTGCGGGTGAAGAGTCATCACCGCAGACACAACTGAATCCAAAATGGCTCAGAGCCAGATTGAAGGGGTTTTCTTTCCTCTGTGTGGAATGTGTGTTTGTTAACAAGTGTGTTAATGTCCTACCAAAGCAGTGCTATCCCTTTCAACGCCCAGTATATTGCAGAGGGAATTAAGTCCCCCACCCAACAGTCAAGTCAATAGAGAGAAAAATAGAGTTCAGTCATTTCAGCTTACAGAAGGGGAAGGGGGTCACCACAATTGCGAACTGCTTGGCGGACTTTTCCACAGCACTCGTCTATACAGGGTGACGTTAGCCAGT